TGTCTCTGCCTGGTAGAAACTCTGCACATATTGCCAAGGAATTCCATGCTTACTGTTTCTCATGGATATACCACAGCTTCTGACTCACTTCTACCAGAAGACAAGTTATGACTGTTCAGCCTCACCGTGACAACAGCAGATTTTCACATATTCTGTAACTGCCAGTTCTGTCTTTAGGACTGCCTCAAATACAAGTGTTTATGTCTTGCAGAATTAACAGAACAGACAGATAAGGACTATTTATCTTATGCAAGACAGGAACCTACAAGGCTTCAATGTGTAACAGCTGGGCAAGTCCAATAAAAATAACTTTCTAAAAAGTAAATATAACTGAAGAGATAATATTATGTTTTATTTGAAAGTTATAATTGACCTTGTAAGGCCTAAATGGATGCTTACTTTAATGCATGGCAGACAGCCATGCACCTCTTACGGTACATTCATCTGCTAAAAAAAGTACTGTGAATAAATTGTATCATATAGTAATTTTCTTGGTTATAAACATTCACCTTCCACATTTATTGAAAGCTAAAGATCAACTAGGAGTCAAAAGAATTAGCAATGCTTGATAGACAACGTATGCAGAAGTCCTTGAAGGACTCAGACATTACTTGTTAATTAAGCCAGCTGATAACAAGCAAACTCATAGCAAGTATTTCAAACTAGCTACTTCATCACAAGAGAACTTATCTGAATAGAGCTATGTCTCAGCCTTTTACTGAAGGATGATAGATGAAAGAATTCTCAGCTTGAAAGAACTGGTTTACAGTTGAAAAACATGATAGGTTGGGCCAATGTTAAAAAAAAAAAAAAAGAAACTGAAACTGACATACGAACTTCAGAGAGTTACCATGACTGAGTCCAGGAAAGCGTATTTCTTAGGATCACAACCAAAACAAACAACCAACTCTCAACCTGCCCCACCATACTCATACTTTAAAGCACCTACTTCAAACCTCAGGATAGGGCTCAGTGATAGGGCCTGTGATCATGCATCGTATTTTTTCTCTTCAAAAAAAATTTATCATGGATGAAATTTTTGAGCGGAGTGGTTATCTGCATCCCCATCATAATCTGTTTAAAGATCAGGTTTTATGGCTTCAGGTTGTAACATGAATGTAGATACATTTAATGTTCTAAACTGTGTCATTCTTTTATTTTCTTGGCTCCTTTGCCCTTTTAGGGAGTTTAGGATTTTATGGCGATTGAGAAGTATTATGCTACCAAGTTGAATAAACTACTGTAAAAACAGATAATTCAGATTTTGTTCTCTCTCTCTGAGCCACTAACAATTAAGAAAAGTTTTTCAGCCAGCTACATATTCATTTAATCACTATTTAATTTCCAATCACATTTTCCTTAGCTTGCTTAAACCTCATACAAGAACATTCCAGAAGCTGGGGTTTTGAGAGAAGGCATGACAGATGGGACATGACAGACAGCACCAAGATGGATGATTCTCCTCCATTCACAAGGTCTGTTTCATTTTGGAAATGAAAGTTATCAGAAGACCAAGACCTATTTCACAGGGCTGGGACTGAAGCACCATCCGTCAAACAAAAAAAATCCTTCCAAGGAAACACAAGGACAGTCACATGAACAACCTGTAGACCAAAGTCCCCTGCACCCACTGCAACTCATAACAAAAATCACACTGGCTACATAAAAAGTGATAAAGCACAGCATGCTATTCATAATGACATAACTTATATTTTACTTTGGCTATTAGCATATTATTTGTCATTCACTAAAATGATGCACATATCAAATATTGACTGCCAATACAATATTTGAACTAATGGTGCAAGTTGTATTAACACACTCCCCAAAAAAGGATGTTTGTTATTACAGACTCACTACCTACGGCTCCACAGGTAAAGCTGCATCCAGGTTTTTCTTGAGTCCAAACACTAAATGCTGAAAAATTCATGTTGCAAAATTTTACAGTTGTTTATTTTCCCAAATTTAGAAGATAAAGGCCACCATGCCTATCTAACTTGTTATAATTTTATATAGTGTTCAAAAGCATGTACAGGACATGGACATGTACCTATACCTCTAAAAATGGTGCATGGGGAGAGCGTGTGTGTGCAGGAGTGAAGTATGTGTGAATGCATATATCCTTACTTATTGCAGTAATACACAATTTAAACGAAAGTAAGGAAACTGAAGTGGTAGCTGTCATGGCTCATGCATACCAGAAGCAGGAATCTTGCAGAAGACTTGGCTGTCTTGATCAAAGGAAACAGCAAAACAAAAACTGACATAATTGAGATGTCAAATTATATTTTTTCCTCCTTATTCTAAAAGATGTTTAATTGATACCTGCCACAGATGTTGGTTTTATTCCTGGTAATGCATATGGAATACAATCACAGGCTGAAGGCCTGAAGAAAAAAACCCACAACAAAACTCTTCTATTATAAATAATTACAGTTACAGAAGACTGGAAGGTGGTAAATACATTGTTGATGTTCAAAAACATTAAGAAGTTATAGGTGGCAATGCAAAAAGCTTCACAGCAACTAAAAACTTTTGAAGCTGTACTTGGCAAGTTAGCTCAAGTAACAACAATTAAAATAGAATAAAATAGCTGGAAGACTATAAGATTTAGCCACCATCTAAAACCTAATCTCAATCACCATCTAAATCTAATTCTCAACAGAAAAAGTTGCATCTCACTAATCTCTGGACCATGTGTTAGGCAGCGATGAAGGAGTAGATAAAGAAAAAAGATGTACTACTTTGATACATAAAAGACTTTCATTAAGGTCCCAGGAGCCTAATAAAAAGCTAAATAACCATTCGGAAAAGAAATAGAAAAAAAAAAGCCCCAAAGCATTAGACACCAAGAACTGGTTGCAAACATCAAACAGAAGGGCTGAACAGTCACTCTTAACCACATCAAGAGACTGGAAGCAGAATGCTCTCCAGTTCAGTCTAAGTTCTATGACTTACTTGCCCCTTTCAAAATTTTTGAACAGTAAAGTATTAAAATCTTCAGGGGATAAGGAAATGCTAAAAGGATCCTCTAATTATTTTAAATAAAGGAGCATAATAGAGATGTTTATCAAAATTTGACTGAACAAGGGATGAAACTTAAAACATGCTTTGCATGCCCCTAACAAGTCACATTGATTCACCAACACCAGTATATAACTCCTCCCTGCTCAAGATGCGTTATTTTAAAAGAAAATTAATAAAATTTTATGACACAACCTGCAATATTCCTTGTGTACTCCAAAAATACAAAATTTTCCTCAAAGGTGTATCATCTTTTAGAATACAGTGGAATTCTGGTTATCTAAGAAAAGGGGACAGAATTCAGAGTACAGATAAGGGTTACAGGAGTGACTAAGCAGAAGGAGAAAGCTCATATAATGAAATAGTTAAAAAAGAGGATTATTTCTATTATTATATGAATGTAATATAATCAAATACATCAGATGATCAAACAATGCCTGTCAGTGGAACTGCTGTGCCCTACTGCTGCATGTATTCTTCTCTACCTCAGCTCTGGGATCAAGCACCTTTGTTCGAACTTCAGAATCTTACCGATCAATTAGTCCTAAAGGGAGGGCCAACGGCCATAGAAATAATCTTTTAACTTTCTCACTTCAGAGTTCTTCCACCTTTGCATAAAACACCTGGCATCTGGATACTGCTGGAAGGCTGAATATAGGACTAAGTGGATTTTGGTATGGGTAAACTATAGCAAATTCGTAGGCTTCTAGCTCACTTAACAGACTATATGCATTTTTAATAAATTATTTATCAGCAAATGTCTCTGGGTTAGAGGGAAGAGAACTACAGTTCTATACAGTTAGGAATTTCTGACAGTTTAGCTACAAATTACCCCCAATAGCAGAATGAAGATTTACTCTCTTAAATGCTCGATATTATTTCTTTATGTAAAAACTTTCTACCGAGAGGATGGAAGAAGGAATGATTTGATGGTTTGTGTTGTTTTGGTTGGTGGTTGTTCGTTTTTTTTACTAAGGGGAGGTGCATAACACCAATATTCTTTGAAATTCAGCAAAAGGAAAAGCTCTGGTGAATCTTTTTCTTTTTCCACATATACCCACATACTGGGTATATTGGTTCTGAAAAACAAAGTCTCAAAAATATTTCTATAATCCTTTTAAATAACACTCTAAAGATCCTTTGCGTGAATTCAGATAAAAAGTAAAAACAGGTATTTGAGAACTGAGAGAAACTGTGTATCAGTGATCCTCTTATCATTCTCAAACATGCATGTGATAAATGGATCACTTTTCAAAATCTGAGCATTAATGTAATTCATGAAAATATTAACTGAATGCGTGAACAGCAAGGATAATAAGAAAAAAATATATAACTATTTACCTGACATTATCCACAAACAACAAACCAAAATTATGAACTCTTTTGAAACATACAATAAAATATACTGCTAAATATATATAAAAATCCCAGAATTATAAGAATTATAATATAGATATCTCTATAAAGCCCAAATTATAAGAATTTGTAAATGCATGTCAGACTGTACAGTCTGCCATTATACCTGCTGACCCATATAATTCTCCTTTTTTCAGGTCTTCACAGTTGATCGCTATCAGTAGTGTTGTATCAAATCCTTAAGTAATGAAACAAAGTTTACAAGTGCAGAGACAACACAATAGCAATATACTTGGACAATGTTTATATAAATACACTTCTTTCTAAATTGCCTTCAATGTGAAAATTTCAGCTCAAATGGGAAAATTTTACTGCTTAGCAGTGGAACAGAAATAATAACTTGTAATACATGCATTCTACCAACACATATTAAATAAAAAGAAATAAAAGACAGCTGTATTATACCTGCTGTCATGGTATCTGTGGGGATGATGCTGTAAAACATCTTGCAGGAAACGCTCCATCAAGCTACTGGTACCCATACGATTCCTACAGTAAGTGGTAAAATGTCTGTGCTGGGAGCTGAAAACATGCTGGTGAAAGAGAAATAGATGACTAGTTTAATACTATTGTTAACACACTGGACTTTTCCTAAAAGTTACTTCTCAGTGTTTACTACACTGTTTCCCAGGTTAAACATTACACTGTTGCTATGAAAATATTCAAATAAAAAGAAAAATCTTCAGCCTTTTCCACTTCAAGGCCTTAATTCAATGAGATTTTTAAGCATGCTTAGGGAGTCTCAAATAATAATAAAATGCCTTGAAACATCTTTTTGAGTTGGAACCTAAACTAGCAGCTCTGACAGCTGCTCACAGATCTCTTGTGCCTGTACTAGGCATAGATACTCTAAATTTATCTATAAATGATGATAAAAATATTCCTGAACTTCATGTGAGTAAACATTCTATAATTCACTCAAATTAAGGAGAATTCTCATAAACACAGAAGATTACATAAGTTTGTACTTTCTAATTAAAAATGTTTAAAAGACAGGAGACTGACACAGTTAAAGAAATTAGTTGACCGAATGTCTTCAGCCTTGAAGACATTAACACACTAACCCTAATACTTTACAATATATAAAGGTGTCAAGATTAAACCCACAGAAATAATCCTACTGGATGCAGTGCACAGTAGTGTGCCACTTCAGAAAAACAGACTGCAGTAGCCATGCCACTCCACCAGCATCTTTTTAACAGGTAACAGAGATAAGAAGGGCATCTTCTTCTCAGTGCATACCTTGTGCAATTCGCAAACTGACTATTTTTTCATGCTGCCTCGGTTGTTCAGTGTAAAGGCTAATATTTTATAAGCTCATAAAGCCTTTTAGTACTCCTTGCTATCTGTTGCTGAATTATGCAGAAGCTTTCTCACCTGTTCCAGATTACTGTAGTGTACATGGCAGCAGTTGCAGTATCCTTGTCTATTTTGCACAGCCGATACTCCAGGCCGAGGACGTTCTTGCCCTCTTGTGTGTAAACTGAAATAAGCAGGCAATATTACCAAGACACGTTGAGTTGTTTAACATGGAAGTTCTAAATACCTATCTTACCACAGAGCTTGAACAAACTTGCAAGATAAATGTTTCTATTTCAGAATTGTAATGGCAAGTAGGACTACATATTTTAAGGTATTCCCCAGCAAATTTCACTAAAGAAAAGGTTTCTTAAATGCAGAACAAAGGATAAGAGTCTGAAGGCGCAGCTAACACAAATGTTAATTTCAGTTGCCTGAAATCTGAAGAGAACCATCTCTCCAGAAAAAGATGGAATAATTTCTTTTTCTTTTTTTAGTATTTTGAAATAAAAAATAGACCAATGACAATACCCATGCATTAGTTTGGGAGACTACAATGCACCCTCCCCAGTTTTTAACAGTATGTGAGTACAAGATAAAGAGGACCTCTGTCATACACTTGATCTACATTGCATCATTTTAATCCATCACACAAGATAATGGATAAGGCTGAAAAACAGACTCTTCCTGTTTCACTTTGTGTAAACTCTAAGGTAGATACCAGTTAGATCATCACCTAACCTACCTGCTACTGCTGTCCCGTCGTAGAGAGCCTTCAATACCATGTATTTCAGTTCCTATAGAGAAAACAAAACAAACAAAAACCAGAATATCAAAAAGACTGAATAGAGTTTTACCTGCAAATAGTTACTTCTCTTACACACTTTTTTCCTTAAAGTTCCTCTAAGAGTTTATCTTAAATAGCTTATTACAGGACAAGAAAACCACACCTACATGGAAACTCTGTGGGCGATTCAGAAGTCATTTCTTCCATCTAAGGACTGTAATGAATTTAGGAAATCAAAGTATGCAGTTGAAAACACAAGGTGAACTAATGCTTCTACTGTTAATTATTACATTAAAAAAAAATAACTGCAACAAAAACATTACTTTAAACTTCTCACCTTGTGCTGAAGAAGCAGAAGCTTCATCAGATGGTTTGATTCTGTCAAACATCTGTAAGTTAAAAAATAACTGAGAATAAGAATTTAAAAAAACACCAAAAACCTGCAGTAAAGCCCATCCTCAAGTTCACCCTTCAGTCCAAGCTCCAAGTTGTTCAGAAGCACTATACTGTCTCAGGTATAGAACAAGACTTGATTTAAATAAAGCCACATTGTAAATACAAGTTTCTGCTTTACTAGGTTACCCTAATATTATATTTAACAATGCATGTTAGCTTCAATACAAGGCTAATTTCTGATCTAATTAATGAAGTTGAATATGAACTTATGTCAAACTTATGAATACAGCTTACACTTTCTATGTTTTTAAGTAATAATGTTGTCAAATTCATTTAATTATCTAATTTCTTAAGTTGCTTTTACAATAAAGATAAAATATGTGTGCTAATAAAAACCATACAAGACCTAGACCACACAAAATAATTATCCAGGCTGGAAAAGGCATCCTTATTGCTCAAAGGACCTGCAAATCAATACTGAATCCTGTATTTTTAAATTAAAATATGACTACAGCAACACGCAGTTACATGCTTCAGGGTGCCCAAACACAAGGGGCTTCTGAGTTTCACGCAATCCTTTTACATTATGGAATGCAAGCCTAAAATCAGCTTTCTAGTACAAACCTTAGGGTCATCAACCTTCTTCATCCACCAAGGCCGACTCCAGACTAGCAAACAATAAATGCCGAACAGGACGCCATCTGTAGTGCAGGACACTTATCTTTTCTCATCCCATCTGGCAATAATGAAGTTAAAGAGCCTTTTAAAATAGAGTTAATAATGCATGTTTTCCATGCCCTAAGGCATGCAAATTTTATGGACCACTTTGCAAACTCATCAGCAAAAAAAATGAATAAATCTCTTTTTGAAGTCTGCAGTACATCCGTCTTTTTTGTTATAGAAGTTGTTTCGACAATTTTTCCTACATAAACGTTAACTGTTCCTTCTGGAATAACTTTATTTGTTCTTTCCTTCTCATAGTCCCTGTGTATTAAATATTGTTGTTGTTTTGGATGCTAGCACTCATGACGCTAAGTCTACTTCTGCAATAACAAAAAATAAATTCCTCAATATTAACCAAGTGGAAATGAATCTATTTTGAGCATTATTCATGAACCTGTTCAGAAAAACAATGTTTTATTTCACCTATGTTACATAAACTATTTTGATACGGCAATAATACATTAACTGGAAATTTCACAGTAGGTTGAACATTCAAAGCATTTTATAAATTTATCATACTCAATTATCATTAGCATTACAGACAGGAAAACAGAAAGGCCACAATAACTTGCACAACCACTGTCACCAATGTCACAGTGAAAGTATCACATCCTGTCCCAAAACTCAGAACTTGACAAATTCTCAGATCTGCTCTTGGTTTACCATTTCTCTAATTCTGGGATGACAAACTTCAAGTTTCAAATCAACCACTTTTACTTTTTATCCTTCAAAAACTGTTCTTACAGGAATCATTGCTTTCCTTTCTTTCCTGTTCTCTTATCTGTAGAAACTATGCACTGCTCATTATAACAGCATGACTGTTACAGCAGTTATGGTCAGATGGAATATCTTAAGATCTCAACTCAAAAAAAACCAAACAAACAAAAAACCACCCAACCAAAACACCAGAATCGTTCTCCTTCCCATAGTGTACCAATTTCTGTAATATTTTTTAAAAGAAAAAACCGAAACAACAAAAAAAACCCCAACCCAAAACATCACAACCCCAGCTGTTTCTATAAAGCTTCTCATCAGGCAACTGAGAAAAGCTTTCTTGATAGATCAATTGATCTCGGTCACCCTGTTCTGTGTCCTATACACAGCTGGGATCCAAAAGAAAGTGAAGGAAAAACCCACAAGACTATTTTTCATGAATGATGCTTTATGGAAAATAACTTGTTCCACAAGCTCAAAGTCAAATTACTGATTTTTTAAGGTCTTACTAGATACACATATGTATGTGTGTGTATATATATGTATGTATGTATGTATATTCCTAAGATAAAGCTACAAATGTGAAGTGCAGTAAGAGTATAGCAACCACAGAGATGGCTACCCCATTGACAGGGCAGTCAGACAGTCAGCAGGGGGAACCACAACCACTCCTCCCCATCCACTGCCCCAAAATTGGATTAAAGCACCTCGATATACAAGTGTCTAGTTTCATCTCAGAGATGCCAGGCAGTGGTAACTGCAATATGTTGGACAATAACTACTACAATGGTTGATTATATCCTTATTTCAAGGAATAATTGCAATGGTGAGCTACTGAGAGTTCACTCATCTGCCAGTACAATTCTGTAAGTTACACCCTTAGGTCGAGACACAGACTCATGCACATTTAAACTGAGCTAGAAGCGCAGTAACTTTAAACAGCACAGGACCATGAAAATAACTACACTGAATTACTCCAGTCTGGATCTCCTCGTCATCTTCCTACAGTCTGAGGAGATTTAATGGATCAGATTTTCTCACTGGGGGAAGGGAGTGTTAGGTAAAACTTGTAAAAGCCTGGCTATCACTTAGTAACTGACAAAAGAATATCAGAGAAAGATCTTTCAGATATACTTATATACAAAGCTGACAAGAGAGGAAAACCTATTCTGTCTCAATTTTTTTATGAAAACACTAGTGCACAGGACAAAGAAAAAATCTGAACTTGTTTGAATACACACAACTTGCTTGCCATCTGAAGTGAAGCTCAACTCACAGACTAATAATGCAAAGGAAACCTGCCATATAGATGCCTTATTTATGTTGCCAAAATCTGGCAACTGCAACTTGCAGTGAGGCAAGAGCCTAACTGCAATCCTTACATCATCAAAACAGAAGCTACAGCTATAAATCCACAAAGGAATTTTCAGGTGTCCATGCAAAGCCTGCAAAATCCTTGCTTAGTTAAGATACTTCCAACTACAAATATCTTAAACTGTTGGATTAAAAAAGTAAATTATACCTGTACAAGCTTTAGCATAAACATCTGACTGCTGAAAAATCTTGTAAATTTACAAACGTAAAACCAGCTGGCCACATACAGAAACATTTGATTTGGCAGATTTCTAACCAGGCTACTTGAGCTGTCTCTGTCTTGGTTTAGTAGGACAGAATTTTAGAGCTGGTTTTCTGTTGAGGAAAACTGCAATTTTGTAAGGACTACAACACACTATTTTCATGGAAACAAAGTTGATAAAAACTTTGTTATAGGCTTCAGCTAATACTGGTATGCAGGCTGCCATAGTGCTCAAGGTCTTCAAGGTCTTGAGATAAAGCTGCAGACACTGGGAGGAATGGAAACCTAGGGGAGTCAACTCCAAGGTGGCCTCAGGCTGACCAGTTAATACTATTCATACCATAAACATCACATTCACTATAAACTGGTTTCCTTCCCACTCCCTCTTCCATAGCTGACATCTCGAGACTTGTTTACTGTCCTAACCCTGATGCCCACTCCCCCACAATACTGGTTGAGTATAACTCTGTGTATTTTATTAAATCTATTTCTGTTTCAACCCACAAATCTCCTTCCTTTTTCCAGACCATCCTCCCTGGGTGGGGAGGAGGCATCATGTGATAGAGCAGCTATATAAACCCCAACACTCTCACACCACTGCTTCTTTATGGTTTTATCGAATTACTCTGCATACAACAGCCAGAGGATGAGAAGCCTCCATCCAACTTAACAAAAGACAACCATAAAGAGGCAATCAAAATGCATGAAATGTACACATTAAAAATATCAGTGATGCATTCTGACAGTATACTAAAGTGTCTAATGCATCAAAGGAACTCTCAATGCCACTCTTGCACTGCAACATGTAAAATAAAAATAAAAAAGAGGCAAAAAGGCCAATCAACATTGCTCATCCAAAAACACCTCAGGAAAGCCTCTACTGCCCCTTCACCTGAGGTCTGTGTTGGGTAAACAGAGGTGAAACAAGAAGGAAAACTCTCCCCTAAACGAAGTTACCTGCCTTCCAACAGCACCAGCACAAACAGGGAGGCGGTACCTTATATCAGGAACTAATTTGGGTACCGGCCTGGGCTCCGAGTCCCGACCCTGCTGCACCACGACCACACCGAGCGGCGTGTCCGC